TGGGCCAGCCCTAAGTTTCTTTTTTTATTGACAAATAAAACTGTATATATTTATGGAGCACAGCATGATGATTTTATATATGTATACATTGTGTAGTGGCTAAATCAAGCAAATTAGCATATCCATTACCTCACATACTTAGGATTTTTTTGTGGTGAGAACATTTAAAATTTCTCTCAGGAATTCTCAAATGTACAATACATTGTTGTTAATTATAGTCACGATATTGCACTATAGATCTCCTGAACTTATTCCTCCTAACCGAAATTTTATGTCCTCTGACCAACATTTCCCCAGTCCCTCCCTCTTCCTCCTCCAGCCACTGGTAACCACCATTCTACTCTCTGCTTCTATGAACTCTGTATTTTAGATTCTACATATAGGTGAGATCATACAGTGTTTGTCTTTCTGAGCCTGGCTTATTTCACTCAGCACAATGTCCTCCAGCTTCATCCAAGCTGTCGCAAATGACAGGATTTCCTTCCTTCCCGAGGCTGAACAGTATTCCATTATGTATATATACCACATTTTCTTTATCCATTTATCCCTTGGTAAACACTTAGGTTGATTTTATGTCTTGGCCATCATGAGTAATGCTACAATGAACACAGGAGTGCAGATATCTCTTCAACATACTGATTTTATTTCTTTCAATATATATCCAGAAGCGGAATTGCTGGATCATACGGTATTTCTATTTTTAATTTTTTGAAGAACCTCCAAATTGCTTCCCATAGTAGCTGTACTAATTTACATGCTCACCAACAGTGTACAAAGGTTCCCTTTCCTCCACATTCCAACCAACACTTGTTACTTTTTGTTTTGTTGATGATAGCCATCATAACAGGTGTGAGGTTGATATCTCATTGTGGTTTTAATTTGCATTTCTCTAATGACTGGTGATGCTGAACATCTTTTCATGTAGCTGATGGCCATTTTTATGTCTGCTTTTGAGAAATGTTTATTCAGGTCCTTTGCAGATTTTTTTAAATGGGTTCGTTTTCTTGCTATTGAATTGTTTGAGTTCCTCACACATTTTGGATATTAACCCCTTATCACATGTAAGGTTCACATATATTTCCTCCTATTACAGAGAACACTCAGTTCCTGGCTGAGGCCTGCCCCCAGACCAAAAACAAACAAACAAAAGTCAAATGTTGGTGAAAATGAAAGTCAGCTTTTATTGAGGAATACCCATCACCTAAGGAGAGCTGTCAGGTTAACCCATCTCTCCGGCAAACCTGAAAGAGAATGACAAGACTAAAGCCATCTCAAAGAATCAGGCTTACTGAGGGCTTTCCAAAGAGTGAGTGGAACGTGGGAAATGAAGAGCAGGAGGGAGGGGGACTTGAACAGCAAGGGCTTCATGTAAGGTCTCAGGTGCAAAGTCTCGCCAAGACTGTCTGGTTTCTGCTTCTGTCCCTACCTCGGGGTCTGCCTAGTACTGCAAGTCTACAGCTTCGGGCTGGCTGGAAAATGACTTTACATTCATGTAAATAATGTCATATTGCCCCATATGCAAGGTCCAAAATATCAAATAACCTTGGGGAAAAGGGACCTCAGAAATTCATGCTAAGGAAAACACACCTCTGTTCTTTTACAATCTTTTAGAGCCCGGGCAGTTTTAGGTTCCGTCATGGCTCTAGTCCTG